ACCCCAAGAAACTTCCAAATAGACGGTTGCCATGTACAACTTTGTAGGTTGTGTCAAAACTTGCAACATCTAAAAAATTGCAATAATCAACTATCATTTTTTAATCAACCCAGAATGTGTTTGTGATCATTTGATCACTATCCAATTGGAATGCATAAAAGAAAGATGGATCTTTATAAGACTGAGTCTCAAAATAATTCATTAGTCATGCTGCCTTTCAATATTCAAGCTCATTTTGTCTTCGAGTCCTTATATGATTTTGTAAATCCAACTTCATATACCCAACTGATTCTCTTCCACCAGCTTACCTTCCCATCAACTCATATGAATTGCGAGGGGTTATTCCTGAATCATAAGCTCATTCCAAATCAATGGCCTGAACGCGGGTAATTCTATGTTGGGACAGCAGCATGTGTATGCATTCATCAATCATCAACGGATGGTTGTGGCTTTCAACAAATTTTGTAACTTCCAACTTACGGGTATACTTGGAATATTGTATAAGCATTCAAGCAAGGCAACCAGTTCATGTTTCGGCCCTGGGAGTCTTTGTATTACTATCCCGAATGTCGTCAACCCTGAAACCCTCCTTGCAGCATGTTAACAATCTCGATGACAGTTTACCAGTCTTCTTGGTCTTATTAAAATACTCTTTGCGGATGCTAAAACCGACTGGACCGGTGTATGAATTATAGAAATCATATTCCTCTTCCTCAGTTTCAAACTTCATACCTATTCTTGGTTTCCATTCTATGACATCGGCCCCTGCAATAGGAGCGTTTCCTGTATATGTGGTGTCTTCGATATTATTTAATACCTCTTCCATTCCAATAATTCAAATCAGAAACCAACAACATAAAAATAAAAAATAAAAATAAATAAATGAACAAAGGGTTGTCTTGCATGTATGGACAATTTTATTAATTGGAACAATTTTCTAACCTATTAACATTATTCAAGATAGTATAATGTATCAGGGATCCAACTTCCTCAACTGCACATATTTTAATTTTGTTACAAATAACAAAATTAATGATTTATTTAACTTTTTCCAACTTAAACATGCACTTCCAACCTTTTTGGGCTTTATATTTTCATAAAAATTACAACTACATTAACTTATTCATTTAACTTTTTTCAAATCAAACATGGACTTGCAAACTTTTTTGGGCTTATTTTGAGAAACATTACAACCATGTTAAGTTATTTATAATGAACAATCATAACTCTTAATGGAAACTTACAGGAATACAATGAAAAATTTATTCTAACATCTTAAATTGGAAGTGTAAAACCTCCATTCAACCTCCATTTCTTATAATACAGAATATCCCAACTATTTTGTAATATTTATCACAAATAAAACACTTACAATGGAAAATTTATTCTAACATCTTAAATTGGAAGTTTAAAACATAACATAACTTATAATACAGAATATCACAACTTTTACACAATTTAATAATAAAATTTTCAGAATTTCTCATTCAATTTTTTACAATTTAATAACAGTTTAAGAATAACCAAACAAAACTAATGAAACACATTGTCATACTATTCACAAATTCACTTACAAAACTAGTACACTGTACCTTCATCTTCCTCAGCGTTCAATCAAACATAGGACACTATAACTTCGTCTTCTCCGGCATTCAATCAAACCTTTGGAAAGAAATTGTAAATTTGGAAAGAAGAAAATTAAGGAAAGCTGAGACTTTTTTGGGAAGAGGAATTTATTTCTTACTATATTTTGGGAGAGAAGAAGAAAGAAGATTAAGAAGAGGCGTAGCTTCGTCACTGTAGCTTCGTCTTCTCCGACATTCAATCAAACCTTTGAAAAAAAATTGTAAATTTGGAAAGAAGAAAATTAAAGAAAACATAGTTGAGACTTTTTTTGGAAGAGGAATTTATTTATTTCTATGTTTTGGGAGAGAAGAAGAAAGAAGATTAAGAAGAGACACTAAATCTGTTTTAGAATTTTCAATTTGACGCTTAAATATGAGTTTAAATAAGTATAATTTCGTATATGTGTATATATATAATTTCGTATATGTGTATATATATTTCGTATATGTGTGTGTATGCATATATATACCTTTTTTTACCCAACGTCCTGTTTGGCCATTTTTACTGCCGCTATAGTGCATGAACAATAAGAACCGGGGGAAACAGGTCTCCTGTTCCACTGGAGACGATTTTGGTCCGATCTACACTAGGCACTGTTATATATATATTTCCTAACAATGAAAAACTTCTCAAAGATACGATTGTTCATTTTCATGTTGCTGAGCTTATTATTATTATTATTTAATTTGTTTTAATTTATTTTATAGCTTGGTTTTAACTATATTGGATGGTTAGTTTCTCGAATAATTTTATATAGGTTAACAGTGCATGTAAATTGTCCAACTGAGTGGCACTCGGATGTATAAATTAATTTTTAATTTATAAGAATTTATTTTCTTTCACCTTTTTTCATATTCTTTCTAAAATCCCTCATTTGACTCGTGGTTTCTTAAAAAAAAAATAATTTATGAATGAATCTTTTACTCTAATATAATAGAATTTTTAATTCATTATAAATTCAATGCAACAGAACACAAAAAGTATGGGTTGACAATTTCTATTTATTATTTTATTCTTTCATTGATAATTTCATATGTCTCAATTGACATACATAATCATGTATATTTAATTCAAATATGTTTTGAAAATAGGTTTGTTGTGTGGCAATTAATTTACATAATATTTCTATTCATTTTTAATTTTTTATATTGCTTTTTAATTTTTTTATAAAATTAACATTTTTAACTTTTTATAATATTATTTAATTTAATTCAAAAAAATATAAATAAGGATATCTTTTTAGGTTAAACACAAACTTCTCTATCTATTAATGAAAATAAGGGATATCTTTTTATTCCAATTCTTTATTTTAATATATATAAAAAATAAAAATAAAAACCTCAATTGAAAATGAAAAGAAATATTAATAATAGAATTTTATTTTTCTTTAATTTAGAGTTATATATTATTATGAAGGAACTTCTCCTTTTTATTTTAATTTTCAAATTTCATACTTTATAAATATATTACTAATCTCAATATTGCATTTTACTTGAATTACGTTCTTGTGCATCCCATATGCGTCTTTACTAGTTTAAGATAAATTTTGTAACTTTTTTTTAGTTTATTAAATATTTAATGATCATAATTATTAAAATAAAAAAATGATGTTAAAATTTAAAATTATCATAAGAAATAAAAGAAACAGAAAAATTATAGCTAATAAGATAATATTTATTTGTATATTAATTAATAATTGGGGCTCATTCGTAACTTTGTTTGTTGTATCATTTTGATCCCAGTTTTATATATTTCATTTCATCTCAGGGTTGTAGTAAAAGAATTTCTACAGCATATTTCTACAGTATATTCCGAAGCAATAGGATCCAAGTGGAATCGAACCACCATCCTCCCAAATGTTAAACTCTCTTTGGGCGCTCTTACCATTTTGAGCTTACGGATCCACAACCAACTGATTCGCTGCAATTTACTGTTCTTTAGTTCCAAAAAAGGTGTCCCGACTCATGGTTTTCAAAATACGACATCATTTGAGATACATGGAGTAATATATATATATATATATATATATATTTTAAAAAAACACTGCTTGAGGATTTGGATAACTCAATTAAACTTATTATTATTACTCCGATGGGCAATAAAACTCACCCTATTTCAACCACCACACAACCCGCCTCTTCCACTGACTACCACCTTCCACCACTGCAGTCGCCACCACTGCATTTCACCATCGCCAACACCACTACCACTATCGCTGCCACCGTCTGCCACCGCTGTCGCCACCTTCCACCATAACCACCACTTCTACTGCCTTCCACCATGATTCCACCACACCAACACCACTACCGCTGCCACCGTCCACCATTTCCTCGCTACCGCCACCACCGCTATCTCGACCTTCCACCACAACCACCGCCTTCCACCATGCTTCCACCTCCACCTCCACCATCTTCCAACACTGTCAACCTTCCAACACCACCCATTTCTCCTTGCAAAATTGTAGATGAAAAAATAGTATTTTGGAAAATTCAATTTCAAATTTATTTCAATTCTAATTTTTTCAAAAAAAAAACCTAAATTTTAAATTGATCCCACCAAATTTTTCTCACAACGCAAACATGAGTTCAAACTCTAGTGAAATAACCAAAGAAAATTGGAAGAAAATGTGTTCCTCAAAAGTCCACTAGCCAAAAAGTTGGCCGATTTAAAGAAAATAAACCCTATGTTGGCAACAAAAATATAGTTTCGCGCGCTACCAGGCATAGAATTTCAACCCAAATGCTGCACCAAGTCCATTCTAAGTCCAAGGGTCCCACCCTACAGCATTCCTGCTAAAATGTTGGTATGTTGTCGTTCGATCTCATGAAATCTCAAGACCTTAATACATGGGCGTCTTATGCCCAAATTAATAAAAACAATAAAATCTTAATGCTTTGAGAGCACCGTGACTTGAATTTGAGATCGAAATAAATTTAGTTAAATTCATGGAGGTCTTTAACTTTTATTTGAATATTTTTACATACATTAATATTTCATATTATTCACTTAGAATAGTGTTGTAACCATGTCCTGTGTCATTCCATCTCATGAAATCTCAATACCTTCAACCTAGCGTTTCTTGGAAAAATTACATAGGAGTATTCTATGACTAAAAAGCAAACCAAATCAGTTGACTTAGATTTGGATCGAAAGAAATTTAGTTAAATCATGATAAGTTAAATATTAACATAAAGACTCACTGAAAACATTGACTAATATATAAAATCATGAGTGGTAAAATTCTTATAATTTAGAACTAAAAACTAATCCCAATTCAAATTTGAAAACATGTCCTCAAAATATTAAAATTTTAGTTAAAAACCATACCACATGCAGACAAAGCTAATTACAATATGCAAATAAAGCTTCTGTAATCTTCTAAGCAAATAAAAGTTGGATAAATGGTATGATCAGACCACAACCCAAGGTAAATGAGAAATAAGTTGCAATGCCTTGAGCTCAAATCAGTTGCTTTATCCTCCAACCTACTAGACAATTTTTTTGGGAAAACAAACTTGACTAAAACTCAATTATAAATTACAACACTCACAAGAAAGTAAATTATAAATCTAATTTTACCTCAGGCCCAAATGATAATCATTCCGCACGGAACAATACAAAGGAAATCCAAAAATCTTCCAAGGTTGACCGTAGAACATAAAACACTGTACACACTGTGAGAGACAGAATTAATAGTGGGCAGTGGGCAGTGGGCACTGATTGCTCCGAGTAAAAGCAGAAAACAGTGAATATAAGTGACAATACCAGAACTTCAAGTTCAAGAAATAAAAATAAAAATAAAAAGGGCATTATTGTATATCACCAACAAAAGCACCAAATCACTATGTACTTCACCCAAATTTCAGTAAGACATTACAAATTATAAACTGGCATTCATAGAATATTTTATGGCCTCACAAGATGATAACAGAGCAGCTGCAAAACTATTTAAACCAGAATATAATAAGCAAGACAAAAAAAAGTTGTACTCCATATAAAACGGCACGTCATAACAAACCTGGGGAGGATATCAACCAAAGCAAATTCATACATCATCATAAAGAAGATAGGCACCACTATTTTGTCAGCACCAAGCCATGAAGAGCTTCCACAGCAGCCACGACACATCAAACAGCAATCACCATCACACTGCTGAGGTTATCAATATATCTTGGACTTCCCCCTATGATGAACAGATTCAGAGATATTTTGGGACCAGTAATAATTTCAATTCCAATCCCCGGGAAGTAATAAAATCACAAATTTACAATCAACACAAGTTCAGATACTAATATTTTTTTTTTTTTTTTTGATAAGTAGCAAGTTCAGATACTAATATATAACTACCATACAACTGCAAACTCCTCATTAGGGCCCCACTATATTTCCAAGATGACTTGGCTTTTTACATTAGTATCACAATTGGCATCTTTATAGAAGGATAATCAAATAAAGTACATTTTGATTTCGAGGCAGACTATATTTCCAAGATGACTTGGCTTTTTACATTAGTATCAAAATTGGCATCTTTACAGAAGGAAAATCAAATAAAGTACATTTGGATTTCGAGGCAGAAAAAAAAAAATTTGCTTACAAGTCAAGAGCCAAAATAGATAATATCTCAAGGCTTCACTATATATAGTGCATTCTTTATTTAAAAACATGAGTTTGATAAAAGTTGTGTGATGAATGAGAATTAACAGAAAAATGTACAGGTGTTTTTGCTTGTACCTCTTGCAGATAACAAATTATGAAGTTGATCCAAACCTTGATTTCCTCAGTCCATACGAAGATCACACAAAAGGAAGTTTTGCCTCAAATGGGTATGTAACACAGTGGATTTAGAATCGATCACCAACCAAAACCATTCAAGAGAGCAACACAGGGAAAGAATAAACTATAAAGATTCGTTTGGAGAAATGGGAGGGCACTGGACATACAGAAAGTGAGAGCCAGGCAAACCAGTACATCTCCCCGAATCCTGAGCAGCAGTAAAATATAACGAATGATATTAATCAAAAGCAAATTCAAAATTCAGAGAATAAAGATAGGGAAACCACTGAAAATAATCTTTTGCCACCACCAGCCATGAAGAGCTCCACAACAGCTACAAGACCTCCATGCAGCATTGAATAGCCATTGAGATCACACCAACCATTCTGCCACGAACAAATCTTTATCTTCTTCCCCTAGGATTAACAGGTTACAATAGGAATCCTTGTAACCAGTAGTATAATACATCGTAAAACCAAAATCCCCCGAAAGTAAATTTCTATAATCACAACAATCAGAATCCAAGCATCCCAAGCCCACATACCAAGTTAACTGCAACTGTACAATTTCTTGATATTCCAAAATGACTTGGATTTCAATTTGGTGACGTAAAACAGTAAGTGCTTGCAATGATTCAGTCAATGTAATACCACATTTGATTTGAAGTTAATAGCCTATTAATTAAAAATGAGATTAATAGATGATAAGATGATAACCTTAGATTGTGCTTGGAGATGATTTAAAACTAACCAATGAAAAATAATCAAAGGCAAAACAAACAAAGGATTCTTCTGGTTGTACCTCTTGCAGATAATCTCACAAAATTGATCGATGTAATTCCCAGATTGATATGAAGTTAGCGCATACCAAACCCTGCATTTCTCAGTATGGTCTATGGAGTTGATTTAGTACTTCACACACTCCAACCAAAACCATTCAAACGGCCTAAAAAATAGGCCTCAAGATCATTAAAATAGGCATCGAGATCATTCTGGAGGAACAAAATAAAGGGAACACGAGACACACGGGAACGGAGAGCCAGGCAAAACCCCGTACCATCTCCCATCACCACAAGAAAGAAAATTTTTATTAGGATTTTCTGGACCTGCCATGCAAGCGCACCTGCATGGCAAAGGTCAGGTGACAAACACTAACTTTTTACATCTCAACCCGGCAAAGGTCAGGTGACAAACACTATTTTTACATCTCAACCTTCGAACGTTTTGTGGCATCAAGAGATCAACAAAGAAAAGCTGCAAAACGCGACCAGCTCATTCAGAATCACATAATCAAATCCCAAAGCAAGACAAACAAATTATTCTCCAATCTCCACAAAATATAGATGACGCAAAGCAGTTCCAACCTCGCACAATAATCGGATCAGCACAACATATTAAACCTGACGCAATCGAGAAACATTCCAGATGATATCACCCAAGAGCAAATTTAGTCACTGAGAAAAAGGATAGGGTGACCGCTAACATTAATCTTTTGCCATCACCAAAGACAAGAAGAGCTTCCACAACAGCTACAAGACCTCCAGGCAGGCAGCATTGAACAGCCATCACCATCACACCGTTGATGGTTGAAAAGTAGAACCATTCCCCCACAAACAGATCTTGATTTCTCCCCCTATGATGAACAGGTTACAGACATTTCCTAACCAAACTAACACATCATAGAACAAAATCCCCAGCCCCACAAACAAACAAAAAAACAGAAGGCTTCTATAAGAACATTCAATGTTGTGCCACTGCACTACTCCATGATATTCCAAGATGACTTAGCTTTTTAAGAACATTATTCGCATCCTTAATAAGAAAAATCAATTAAACATGGTTTGAATTTGGAGACAGAAAACAGCAAATGCTCACTCTAGATGGTCATTTCATTATTGGAACAATACTAATTCAGTCAATGTGATGCCACATTTAATTTGAAGCTAACAGCCTATAACTTGAACATGAGATTAGCCTATAACCTTAAATCTCACTTGGAAGCAAATTTGTAAGAGTGTATTAGATTAAAAACTACACAATGTATAAGAATTAAAAGCAAAATAAACTAAGGGTTGTTTTTTGGCTTGTACCTCTTGCTGATAAACTCAATAAGTTGATCTAACCCAGAAATTCTCAGATTGATACGAAGATAACGCATATCCAACTCTGCATTTCTGAATGAATGATATTAATCAAAAGCAAATTCAAAATTCAGAGTAGGGAAACCACTGACAATAATCTTTTGCTACCACCAGCCATGAAGAGCTCCACAAAGGCTACAAGACCTCCATGCAGCATTGAATAGCAATTGCGATCACACTGCTGAGCTTGAAAAGTTGAACAATTCTGCCAAGAACAAATCTTTATCTTCTTCCCCTAGGATTAACAGGTTACAATAGGAATCTTTGTAACCAGTAGTATAATACATCGTAAATCCAAAATCCGCCGAAAGTAAATTTCTATAATCACAACAATCAGAATCCAAGCATCCCATGCCCAAAAAAAAATGACTTGGATTGAATTTGGTGACATAAAACAGTAAGTGCTTGCAATGATTCAGACAATGTAATACCACATTTGATTTGAAGTTAATAGCCTATAACTTAAAAATGAGATTAATAGATGATAAGATGATAACCTTAGATCGTGCTTGGAGATGATTTAAAACTGACCAATGAATAATAATCAAAAAGGCAAAACAAGCAAAGGATTCTTCTAGCTTGTACCTCTTGCAGATAAACTCACAAAGTTGATCGAACCCTGTAATTCCCAGATTGATATGAAGTTAGCGCATACCCAACCCTGCATTTCTCAGTATGGTCTATGGAGTTGATTTAGTATGCCACACCCCCCAACCAAAACCATCCAAAAGGCCTACAAAATAAGCATCGAGATCATTCTGGACGAACAAATAAAAGGGAACACGAGACACACGGGAAGGGAGAGCCAGGCAAAACCCCATACCATCTCCCTTCACCATAAGAAAGAAAAATTTTATTAGGTTTTTCTGGACCTGCCATGCAAGCGCACCTACATGGCAAAGGTCAGGTGACAAACACTATAACTTTTTACATCTCAATCTTTGAACATTTTGTGGCATCAAGAGATCAACAAAGAACAGCTGCAAAACGCGACCAGCTCATTCAGAATCACTTAATCAAATCCCAAAGCAAGACAAACAAATTATTCTCCAATCTCCACAAAATATAGATGACGCAGAGCAGTTCCTACCTCGCACAATAATCGGATCAGCATAACACATTAAACCTGACACAATCGAGAAACATACCAGATGACATCACACCCAATAGCAAATTTAATCATTGAGAAAAAGGATAGGGCGACCGTTAACACTAATCTTTTGCCATCACCAAAGACATGAAGAGCTTCCACAACCGCTAAGACCTCCAGGCAGGCAGCTTTGAACAGCCATCACCATCACACCGTTGAGGTTGAAAAGTAGAACCATTCCACCACAAACAGATCTTGACTTAGCTTTGTAAGAACATTATTGGCATCCTTAATAAGAAAAATCAATTAAACACGATTTGAATTTGGAGACAAACTGCAAATGCTCACTCTAGATGGTCATTTCATTATTGGAACAATACTAATTCAGTCAATGTAATGCCACATTTAATTTGAAGCTAACAGCCTATAACTTGAACATGAGATTAGCCTATAACCTTAAATCTCGATTGGTAGCAAATTTTTATGTGTGTATCAGATTAAAAACTACACAATGTGTAAGAATTAAAAGCAAAATAAACTAAGGGTTTTGACTTGTACCTCTTGCAGATAAACTCTCTATGTTGATCTAACCCAGCAATTCTCAGATTGATATGAAGATAACGCATATCCAACTCTGCATTTCTGATTATAGCCTATGGAGTGGATGTAGTATCTGGTAGACACAAACCAAACCAGTCAACAGGCCAACAAATTGAAAGCACGATGATCTCTCTGGAAGAACAAGAAAAAAGGGGACATGAGACACACATGAAGGGAGAGCTGGGCAACACCCCGTGCCATCTCCCTTCAACACAAGAAAAGAGAATTTTTATTAGGTTTTTCCTAGACCTGCCATGCAAGCGAACCTGACATGGCAAAGGTCGGTTGACAAGCACAAGAACATTTTACATCTCAAACCCTTCAAAATGTCTTATGGCAACAAAAGATCAGCACCACGACAGCTGCAAAACACTGCAACATCTCGTTCAGAACCGCATAAACAAGATCCCAAAGCAAGACTAACAAGCTATTCTCCCCAAGTTATAGCTGAAGCAAAGCAGTTCCAACCTGGCACTGTAATCAGATGAGCATAACCATATTAAACCTGATGCAGTAGGGAAACATTCCAGATGATATCACCCAAAAGAATTTAAGGCAACATCTGACAATATTCTGCCACAACCAAACCATGAAGAGCTCCCACAATTGCTACATGACCTCCATGCAGAGCATTGAACAGCAATGAGCTTCATTCCGCTGATGTTGAAAAGCCAGGCTACTCCGCTATAAGCAAATCTCGCTCTTCTCCCCCTATAATGAACAGGTTATAAGGGACATTTTGAAACTAGTATAACCCATCATGGTGTATGCACGACCCCAAGAGATTCTGTGGTTACAACCCATCAAGAGCCAGAATCCAGAATCCCATGACAAAATACCTATAGTAACTAATATACAACTGCAACCTCGTCATGAATATCCTACACATGCACAGCTCCATGATATTACAAGATGACCCAGTTTATACATTAATACCTTTTTTGGCAACCTTACAGAAGGAAAAACCAATAAATGACAAACTGGAATCATGCTAGAGACAAAAACAGACATGGATTATTAAAAGATGAGATCTCCCAAAAGGGCTCAGAAAATTATACCATTAATCACTTTTTTTCTCTTCATTGAAGAAATAACAGCAAAATAAGACACGAAGTACAAAAATAACACCCATGTAAAGACTTCTACAAAAATTAGTAATGGTTTGATCATGTCAAAATAGTTAATTTTTCAAAACTTCCCTCTAGATTGTGCCCTCATAATTGAAAGAATAGTAAATTGGCACCAATGCGAATATATATATATTGCACCTCTGATTTTATGTTAATAGTCAATAACATTATAAAATGTATCAACGGAGAATGACTTCAGATTGAGTATGCAAGTATTGCTCGCATCTTAATTGATAAAAAAACTGCTCAGTGAACAAGAATTAATGGTTCAAATTTAGAGAAGTGTTCTTGCTTGTACCTCTGGCAGATAAAATCATGAAGTTGATCCAAGGCTTCATTTCCTGGATCAAATAGGAAGATCATGCAATGGACGCCTTTTTTTCCCCAAATGGAAATGGTGGACGAAGTGGATTTAGAATCCAACACCAGCCAAAACCATTAAGAAGAGATCAACGGAGACAAAATATAAGTATTTCTTCAGAGAATAAAAAGGGGACACGAGACACGGAGGAAGGGAGTGCCGGGCAAAACCCCGTACCATCTCCCTTCAACACAAGAAAAGGAAGTTTTTATTAGGCTTTTTCTTGACCTGCCATGCAAGCGCACCTGACATGGCAAAGGTCACTAGAACATTTCACATCTCTCACAATTCTCTATCTTTCTCTCTCCATCATATACCCTCCTCATATTAAAAAAGAAAGAATATCAAACAGCTACGTAATTCGCAAACAATTACATATAAAACATCCATCAAACCATCTGTTACGAATCTCAGACACCATCAGTAGTCAACAATCAATATACCGAACCCAGTGGGTATCATGATCTGCAAAAACATAAATTCTAATGCTGAGATGATAGATAAGCAGAGACCTATCACAAAATATTGCAGACTTAGTATCAAAAAAGGAATATTCTTCAATAAATTCAACGCCAGAAAGATCGAAACTTGTGTACTTAATTGAAGAGAAACAGTTTACCACTTATCTTCACATATCTACCTGAAAATATTGCAAAAAGCGAATTGTTTTGAGTAGAACAAATCAACAGATTCATATAAGCATCCGATGCCCTCAAAAAAGAAAAATAAAAAAACGAAAACAAACAAAAATCAGATACTTCAATAAATTCAAATCCAGAATGATCGAAAATTTGTGTGCGTAATCGAACAGAAACAGATCTACCACATATCTTCACACAGATCTACCTGAAAACACGTCGACTTGAACCGAATCTGATAGATCTGAAGCACCTGTTGCTGAAACGCCGATGATTGACCAGAAAATCTATGGATCTGTCAAAGAAATGATTGAAGCCGAGAGGTTTATCGAAGAACTACAAAGCCATGATCAAAACGTAGATCGTCGAACGGGAAATCTATGGATCTGTTAAAGAAATTTTTGATGGCGAAAACGAAACGGTAGACTTTTGCCAGACTAGAAATGAGAAATGCGATCAGAGTCGTAATACAGATGCCCTGTTGGAAATGTTGAAAAATCAACGCCTGGATTAGAATAGACGGTTTGTCATTATTATTAATATTATTATTATTATTTATTGAATTTACTTATCTACCCCTGGTTAATAGTCTGTCTTCCGACCTTAATTACGAATTTTTCTTCTAAAATTGCTTCAAAATTTACGGCTAATAGATTGGGCAATAGAAGATGAGTTCAAGAACAAAGCCACGCTTAGTTTTATTTAACATGAGGAAGTGTTTTAACATCTTCGTAGAATTTGTTGAATTGTGTAGTTTGTGTTTTGGTTCCATTATGTGAAGTCATATTGTACTCTAATTTTATGCGAAGTTGGATAGTAATCTTATTGTTAATTAATTCATTTTTTTTAAATCGAAGTTCAATACATGAAGAACCAAATGAGATTATTGGATTTTTTAGCCAATGTAAGACTTGAGCATCTCCAGACCTTGAATTGTTATTGTCTTTAAGTGGTGAGACAATACATGTAATGGTTATGTGCTTTGAACATGTTTATCAAGTGTTTTGAATTGATGTATATCATTGTTGTTGCTCATCAATATGGCATTGCCCTAGTGGAAACCAGCAAGCAAATGCCAAATAACAACCAAAACCAAATGACAAAACCTACACTTAAAAGAGTACAGACCAACAAAAGAAAACTATAGCAAACAGCTGCAATACAAAAGATAGACAACTACAAATAAAATACAAAGTTTGCACTTGGAACTTTAGATTTCTTTTCAGTTACTTTTGTAAATTTAAATTACTACCTTTCTTCTTCTTGGTACTTGTGACTTGCTTTGATCAGGTTGATCTTTTGGCTTTCCTCGAGCGACCTGATAGCACATTATTGAAATAGACAACAAATATTGAAAGATTAAACACCAACAATGGATTCTTGATACGTAAAACACCAACAAGGGTACTGCAATTTATATATATATATACCTTCTTTCGTTTTTCAACTAGTTTCTCAACAATAGATACCTTCCTCTTTGAAGGTGGGCGACCTTTAGTTTGTGCTTTTAATGGAGTAAGCAATTTCTTTCTGCAATCTGGTAGTTCATGAAACATACTGCTAGACTCACCTATTTGACCATTTTGGCAATCTGAGTCAATGGTGGTGAGTTTTTCCTTTATCTCCTAGAAGCTCATATTTTTCACCTGACTCTGCTCCAAACTCTTGCAATTCGTATAACAATGGAATCAAATTATTTTTTTGCAGCCTTTGTTCACTATTACTAAAATCATCATAGATATTTTTCACAAAAGTATACCCACGCTTAATGTCCTTCCGCCAACGGTCTAGTATATAATTAGATGGAACCTCATTTACCTTTTCTTGTATCATCACAGAGATTATATGGCTACATAAAATCCCTTTAAACTCAAACAAATGGCACAAACATCTCAGTTCACCTTCAGCTGCATTGTAGAAAACCTCACAAGTTACCTCTTTCAAAAATCCGCCATCTTTTCCAGCTTTATGATCTTTGACTTCAAAAGTAGAAACTGACCCTTCTCTCTTAATAATAGATGTGTTACAGTACATCAATCCCCTCATCTGCTCTTGAAAATCTTTGAATATATTGTGGATGTAAACATCCTGGAATTGTTTCTCAATGGAGAAAAGAGTTATCTTTGGAATGGTAGAAGTGAAGGAAGAAAAATCTGCTTTGTTTTCTTTTTCAATTTTACTTTTTAAGGCACTATCATACTGTTCAACAAATTGCTTCAAGGTAGTTTTTAAGTGAACATACCCATCAAAGAATGCGTTCATACTTTCACTTCGTTGGATAGTTGACATTCCAGCCCAAAAAGAGCATTTCACATATACGGGAACCCAACGATGACGATCTTTATATAATGAATTCAACCATTCATTGTTCTCAAGATTATACTCTTTAATCAATTCCATCCATTTTCTTTCAAACTCATCATATGTCAGAGATTCATACACAGTATTTTGTAAGCTCCACTTGATTGCTTTATATTGGCCAAGTCCACCTAACTTCATATGAAGCTTTTGCATTATATGCCAGACGCATAATCGATAACAAGACTCTGGAAACACCTTTCTAACTGCTGCTTGAATAGCTTTGCACTGGTATGTGATAATAGCTTTTAGAGCACGCCTTAACATACACGTCAACCATGACTCAAACAACCAAATATAAGTTTCAATATCTTCATTAGATAGCAAGCCACAACTAAACAACACAGATTGCCCATGATGATTCACCCCAACAAACGGAGCAAAAGGTATGTCATATTTATTTGTCAAGTAAGTAGTGTCAAATGTGATAACATCCCCGAAAGACTCATATGCAGCCCTACATCTAGCATCAGCCCAGAAAACATTCCTTAAACGTCCTTCTTCATCCATATCAATCATGTAAAAAAAATTTGGATTCCTATTTTGCATGCGATAAAAATAATTACGAAGGGCTTCAGCATCTCCAATGCCAAGCCTTAACTGTCTTGCTTTTGCAATGTAGTTTCTGCATTCTCTCTCACCAAATGGTAAATATTCATACCCACCAGCTTCAACAACAAGTGAATGATAGTATTTATTTAGTGTTATACCGGCTAAATCATTCAATTCCAATCTTTTTCTGACATGTGAATCTATTACTTTGTTACATCTAAAGTGTTGAACCTTTCCCGGACTTAGTACATGATTATGATCAAGACAGACACGAGGGATAATGAACCTTCCATCATCTTTAGTTGTAACATTGATTTTAGCCTTACAATTTGTCTTGGTTGAAGGCCTTGGATGAAAAGAGTTTTTTGCCTTTGATATTGCTTTGCCATATCTAGCACAGGCAAGTGAAAAGTAACTTGACTTTCCATCACTTCTATTTTTTGTACTTATTTTTGAGACACCAAAACCCAAATGTTTCGCATAATTTATGTAGTAATTACGAACTTCTTCCTCAGACTCAAAGATCATACCTACCTTGGGATTTTCTACTTCATCCTCAACTAATGAAATTTTCAAATCTTGTTCATTCACATTATTACCACTTTCCTCATTGCAAGACATCTTCTATCTGTCAAATGACAAAGTAAGTTGAGAGTGAAACGAATAAAAATAAAATTAAAACGTTAATATGTAAATATTGAAAGTCCAAAAACTATAAAAAGGGAATTAAATTTTTTTTTTTTTCCTTAAAAACAAAGAATAGCATACTTACTAGTGGAAGTTCAATAATTTTTTTTTTTTTTTTTTTTCAAATTGTTGTATATAACTTTTTCCCCATAAATTCAAGTAGGTATAAACTTGTAATATATGTAGAACATGGCAAAAATAATGGTGGAGAGCATAAACTAAACTCAATACCAAGCCTTATGTTAAAGGTGCCAAAGCTTCTTATAGACATCAATTAGATACAATCAATACGTCTATGATTTAATCCTATGAAACAAAAGAATTCAAACACAAATCTCATTGAAACATCTTTGAGCAATTCACCTTTTTTCATTTTCTTATTAACAAGAAAGATTCCCAAAATGAATACAATATATTTAAGAAAAACTCGCAAAATGAATACAAAAAACAGAGGCTAAAAAATATTTTGAAAAAGGATTTAATTCGTACCTTCAATCAAAGAAAGAGATATGTTTCGACTTATCTTCCCTTCGATTTTACAAAGCAACAAAAGGGTTTTCCTTTGGATTTTGCAATATCCAGGATCATAGAAAGGGGGAGTTCAGGAACGAGAATAAAGGAGATAGCGACAAAGGAGAAAAAAGAAAAAAAAAGAGGAAGAAATCGAAGAAACCAGGAGAGAGAAATCGAAGAAATAGAGGGAACCACAACTTTTAAGCTTTCCAGTTTTTACCTTTAGTGCGCGAAAAAAATAAAGAAGAAAAGAAGCCAGCGATTTTTTTGTGATTTCTTTTTAGGATGCCAGCGATTTTTTTGCGATTTCTTTTTAGGGTTCCAGCTATTGTTTTGCGATTTCTTTTTAGGAATCCAACGTGGATGGGTCACGTTAGATTCGGAAGATAAGTCGATAATTAAGGTCGGAAGACCTATCATTTCTCATATATTTTTGTGTAAATTCAGAGTCTACACAAAAAATTTTATGCTACCTATTTTTAGCTCCAACGACTATTTTATATTTTTTATATAAAAAAATATCATCCAATAACAACCAACCACGTGTCATACGCAAGACCCTACATAACTTTTACAAACCTACTTAATTTACTTTACTTTTTCGCGATTAAACCGCACGTCTCAATCCTCCTCAATTAGGAAAATAATATAATTTCCTCCTATATTTTATTTTCCCATCCTGCCAAACTTTTCCGGCTACCACCAGCATTCTAACTTAATAATAAATAATAAAATAATATTCAAGTATGTAAAAACTAGAAACCAACAATATGCAACAACAATTGCAATTGCATCGACTAATCATTGAAAAATAATAATAATTTGTATAATAGTATTAAACAACAATTATATAAAAACTTGATTAAACTATATATCTAATCTTTAACTATTACATATTTATCTCATTAGAATAGAATGTAAAATGATAAAAAATCTAAAAAAATCTTAGAATCTAAGCGATAATGAAAATAATGAATCAGATTATTTTTATTAAAAAAATAAAATAAAAGATAGTTAAGCAATTCTTATCTTACCGCCAATTGTAGATTATATTCTCTATAGCGCTTTAAAAAAGGGGGAAACAAAAAGGCGTAAAGGAATGAGAGAGAAGAAAGAGAATTGCGAGTGGGAAAGGAGGAGGAGAGATAAAATATGCTTACGTGGCTGTGTAAAAGGATTATATAAAATACACAAACCTTTTACGCATTGGTAATGTGACATTGTATGTTAACATATTGCTGGAGATGAAAAAAAAATTACAAATCATATGTGGCAGTGTATATTTTACACAAAAAGATTGTTTTAATAGACCGCTGGAGATGCTCTAATATATTGTTAAAAATGTCCAAATATATAAAAATAATAAATGACCCTTTGCCAGAAACAAGGGTCCGTTTGGTTAGATGAAATTTTTTGATGGAAAGTGAAAGTGAAAGTGAAAGAAATGAAAATCAAGTTTCCATCATGCAAGTGAAAGAAATGAAAATCAAGTTTCCATTATGCATTTGGTTAGCAGGAAAATTTCTGAAGAAAATTGTGAGAAAATCTTATTTTTATTGTTTGGATAGCATGAAAAGGAAAAGAAAATGATTTCACATACCATAAATACCCTTATAATTTTAAATAGTATAAAAATAAATAAATTTGTGTTAGAGAAACAATATTTATACTTAATTATTTATTTTTTGCATTCTCCTTTATATAATTGTGTGTGTGTGTGTATATATATATATATTCACTTGAATTATCGATCTTTTATTTTTGAAAGTGAGAAAATAAACTTGTATTGGTTTTCCATATATATCTAGTTTATTTTATTTTTATTATTTATTATTTCTTTGTTAAAAATTAAAAGTCATGGATGGATTATGCTAAGATAATGTAGATTTAATTATTTATTTAATGGTTAATTACACTCACACCCCTTGAAGTTTGCTCTATTGACAACCATATGAAAGTTGACCTATTTTTGAACAATGACACCCCCTGATCATATTTTGAATCCAAACAGACCCTTAAACGCTGGGAAAAGACAAGTTTGTCCTTCAATATTTAATTTACCATAATAATAAAAATAAAAAATATCCTAAATTGCAAAATGACTTCTTTGTCCAACAATTTTCATACGTACGCACTCCTCTTCTCTTCATCTCTCTCTGTGCTCACACCATTTTTCAACCACGGCTGCCACTATCATCTTTCAACCACGGCTGTCGCCACAGTCTCTCCTCACCCACCGCCACAGCCACCATCTCGTTGGATTGCTCCACCTTTTACCACCATTACCCATCATCACCACCATCCACAATTAGGGCTACAACCACCCCCAAATTATGCTACTTCCCTCTCTTTCGCACACATATATATAGAGACAATTGAAATCGTTTCTTTTCTCTCTTGGACAAAGACACACACACACACACACATATATAGACCACGGACAATTGAAATTGATTCTTCCTTATTTTGCGAACACATATATATCTATACATATATAGATACACAGATAATTACGAGTCTTCCCTCTCTTGCACATAGACATAGAGATACCTATCCACAAACGTGCACACATAACCACACCCATATCACCCCCACAGAAGTTGGGGTTTTGTGATTTCTCCATCAAAACGAACACAAAATTGATATTGCCTCCATCGTAACCATATCTCTAAACGCAAACAAGCCACCGCCGACGATGATGATGATGATGATGACTCAACCTTCCTCTCTTGACACCACCGTTCAATGCCCTAAATGACGGCATCGACCTCTCCCTCATTAAAGCTGTCGACAGATCCCAAAACGCCATTGATTCTTGGTGTCTTGCACTATAACACCATTGACGTTGTCAGATTGTTTCACCTCTTACCAACACTCCCAACCGTGACCACCACTGCTCATTACCACCAACGTGGAGTATTTGTTCAACCTTGAAGATGATGGTGAGAGGTTTGGGTTGTGTACTTATTTTGGTGGATTGTTTATTTTGGTGGATTGTATATTTAATTGTGGGTGGTGGTTGTGGGGATGGAAGTTGCGATGGTGAGTGGAGAGAGAGAAAGAGAGAGAAAAAAAGGGTGGGTAGGAGGTTGGGTGTGGCAGCACAGTGGACGAGCGCAATTGGATTAGGTAATGCGGCGGCAGTTGAGGCGATGATGCAAGGGGGAAGAATGAGGGTAATTTGACTATTTAAAAGGATAGTTTGGTCCAATAAAATGAATGCTAAATGATAAAAATATAATTTCATAATATGAATAGGTCAATTAACAAGTCAAAGGGTAGTAATGTCAATTCATTACATTTGGGGTGTCTTTGTTAACTTTATTAAACCTTAGGGGTTGTGATTGTTCAAAAAGGAACTACCTTTCATTTAGTTGTCAATAAGGCAAACCTCAGGAGGTGTGAGTGTAATTAACCCTTTATTTAAATATAATGTTTGATGCTAGATAGGAATTGTTTTTTTTAAAGTTTATCTGTAGTATAATATTTTTTATGGAAAACCTTTCCTTAAACAAAAAATAAAAATATTATAAAATAATGACGATACAACTAGTAATAGCTTTTAGTTAAATTTCTAACACGTCTAACTCGTTCATTCTAAGGTTGTCTACCAGTTCTGCAACAGATGATGCTTTTATCTAGACATATTTGTTTGATCCATCTCATCAAGTTAAGTGAACAAAAAAATTATTTAAAACATAAGCAAAAAATTCAGCTAGCATGGTAATATTTCAGAAGAACAATACCAAGTCAAAGGCAAATCATACATGGCAAGATTGGAAGCTATATTCTAAATGACATATATGAAAATTTAATTTTACAAAATTTGACATCACTAAAAAAAAAATACAATTAAAACATAATATTATCAGAAGGAAAATATTACAATAATTTGAAACAGTAACTTAAAAAAAGTATAAAATTCCACAGGGTAATACTGAAAGAGACATATTATCATCCTATGAACAAAATGAAGAAAATAGTGAATGCATTGTCCACAAACAGCTAGATCAAGAAAAGTCAGCAAATTTTTGACATTCAAATTATGCAAAGATGTGGTAGAAAAAAAGAATTGCTAGGAGAGAATCTAGAGCAACATTGAGTAAATACTCAGGGAATTATTTAATCCAAATAAATGACATGAATTGATGAGCAAATGCATTTTTTTTAATTTTTTTTATTGATGCAAATTGTCGTACAAATTTGTATGTCCTTAAAAAAAAAAAAACAGATAACAGAGGAAAGAAAGAGAGAGCAAAATTTGCTTGGTATGTGATAAACCTCTAAATTATGCTATTTATATTTTTATCAAAATATATATGGAATGGAGAAGGAAATAAGATATAATATTATGAAGAAAGAAAAAAAAAAATTGATAGGAATTAGTAAATATACATCTATCTGCTTTCAAACTACAATTTGTTCTCTCCAAATGAACTTTTTATCCTCTGTTCCATGTGCTTTGCTACCCATCACCATTTTAGTATTACCTAAAATCCCTTTTTCCTTTTAGGTCCTCATTAAGGCCGACCCAGCAGAGCTCGAGTTCACATAACTAAGCCTCAATCTCAAACTCGCTCTACAATTCAAGCTATTATCACAGGTTAGGGTTCGTTTACAATTCTCACTCTGTGATTCTTGGTGGCGTAGAGAATGGAGGCTTCTCAAGCCATTGACTTCAAATCTAAACATAAGACGCCGTTGGGAGTATTTGTAAAGCTAAAGTTCTTGTTTGAACATAGAGAGAGGATGTAGATGAATAGGCGGAGTTGTTACAGAAATGGAAGTGAGAGATTGACAATAGGTGAGTTTCAAGGCCATTTCCAAGCTCGTTCTCCTCTGGTCAATGGCCAATAATTCCAACATTAACCCTAGTTTTCATCCAACACTTTTGCCATCAAGAGTTATGTACATATTATGGAGAAATATATCTTACGAATTTCATACCTTCCAAAAAAATATATGAAAAAAAATAATTCCATACTGAAAGAAAAAAATAAATGAATTTTGGATGCAGGCATAAAACTACAAACAATTAAATTACTAATACATTATTGTATAAATAAACAATTTACAGAAGAAGAAACTCACCTATTTATCTTTTTTGTAATTTTAGTTAAGAAAAATATAGTTTACCTTTTCAATGAAGTCTATAATTTTAGTGAAGAAGAACGAAAAACTGACATGGGTATAATAGGAAAGTAATATATTAAAGTACAAAAGAATTTTCGTGTGTTTTTTGTGCAAAAAATTTTGGAGAAGCTTCCTTTGGGGTTCATATGGGC